AAATGTGCAGGAACAACTCAGCCACTTCCCTGAGCAAGCTTTTGTGTTTTCAAACACACAAACAGCTGTAGGCACACACCACAGTTCACAAACCACATCCCCCAGAGGAGATGAAATGGGAGGGAGTGGGAGGAAGGGTGAAACAGAGAGAGAGAGAGAGAGAGAGAGAGAGAGAGAGAGAGAGAGAGAGAGAGAGAGAGATTAGCTGAGCCCCCTGGATAGCCTTAAGAAGTCCTTAGTGGCCTGAGGAGCGAAGCATTCTATACCCTCCCCTTCTCCCAACCCCCAATATCTTCTTCCAAGTTTTCTGGAATTCTTTTTTTTGAGTTGGAGTCTCACTCTGTCACCCAGGATGGAGTACAGTGGCATGCTCATGGCTACTGCAATCTTGACCTGCTGGGCTCAGGCGATCTTTCCACCTCAGCCTTCCAAGTAGCTGGAACTACAGATGGGCACCACCATGCCTAGTTACTTTTAAAATTTATTGTAGAGACAAGGTCTCGCCAAGTTGCCCAGGCTGGTCTTGAACCCCTCTTGCCTCTGCCTCTCAAAGTGCTGGGACTATAGGCATAAGCCACTGCACCTGGTGAAACTAGAATTCTTGAATCCCTGCTTCCTGGGAAACCCTAGTGGTCGCCCTCCATCCGAAGCCCAGGCAGTGATTCTTTTCCTCCTCCCTTGGGGCACCTAAATGAGAAGGTGACTCAGAAAGCAGGGGCCGAGGTGGGTGGGGTGACTCACTCAGCTGTCTGGAGGGGGGGATGTGGTCTGGTGAGAGAAGAGATTGCTTCTCAACCTCCAGAGCCTGTACCCTAATCCTCTGAGGCTTCCTGATGTCCAAACCTGGGCCAGGAGGTCCCAGGGTAAGGATGGGGAGGAGGGCTGGTGAGCTTCTGCACCGCCCTCACCTCCCACAGACTCTGGACCGCCAGCTGAGGTCGAAGTGGCAGCCAGGGCCTCACCGGCGCAGGGTCACTCAGGGTCAAGCCCCATGGGCTTCTCTGCTTATGGGATCCACTCTGTCCCAATTCCTTCCTCCAGGGTCTCCCCAGGGGGTCGTTGGCAAGTCACCTGGGCAGCCACATGGTGCTGGGAATCTTGGGAAAGGACCCCCCTTGGTTTGGCATCTAACATGCAGGAAATCAAGGCGGCTTCAAAGTCTCTCTGGGCAAGGGCTAGAGAGCTTGGTGGGACCAGCTCTGAGCGCACAAACAGCCCAGCTTGGCTTCCTGCCCATTGCTCTGGTCTTACCCAGAAGGTCCAATCGCCTCTCTAGGGTATCAAGAGTTTTCATTTTGCCCTTACTACAACAACAACAACCATAATCTGGACAGTAATGGCCAGAGGTGACTTCATATGAAGGCCTGGCTGGCTCTTGGAGCAACCTGAGAAGTCACAGGTAGGCTGAGGGAGCCAAAAGAGATTTCCTTCCTGGTCCTCGGGTGGATGGAGGAGGAAGAGGAGACAGCTGGGGAGGGCCAAGGAGGTAGAGAGAAGCAAGCACACCAGCCACATCCAAAGGAAGGAGGAGGCACACTGGCACCTCCAGATGCTGGAGGTCAGGGCTCTAGAGGGGACAAGAAGCAAAGCCAGGCAGGCGAAGGCAACACGGAGAAGAGAGCCTGAGGTCCGGGCTCTGGGACGTGGTGTGCCTAGGAACGCAATGCTGACTTTCCTCCAGAGGTGGGCAGCAGGTCTTGAGCACCAGACACACGCCGAAGGGAGGCCTGATCTGACCCAAGGCCTGGCCTTGTCAGGCTCTGGGCCCTCTCGGCTGCCCCCAGGCCTGGCCCAGAGCCCCACCAGCCTCACTTCACCCTGGTGGAGTGCTTTCTCCAGAGCCCTGGTTTGAATCTCCAGCTCAGCGAGCCACACCCTAGCATGAAATCTGAGACTGGGGGTAGAGCCCTCAGCCTCTTGCTGTTTCAGAAAATCACTCCATTTCCAAAGAGAAGGGAAAGACATCAGAATGACTTCCTACCTGTTCTTAAAGGCCTTGCCCCAGCCTCACCTCCTCCATGAAGACCACAGACCTTCCCTTGTGGTCACTTCTCTGCCACCACCAGGGCTGCAGAGGGGCAAGAGTTTCCCTGAGCCTTCTGCATCCTCCTCTCCAGTGTGGCCTCTAACACAACTTGGGCTGTGTTGCTGGTTATGTCTGTGTATGTCTTACTGGACTGTAAGCTCCTTGAGGGCAGGAGCCTGGCTTGCACTTCTCTGTACCTTCCACAACATCCAGTTCATGGCTTGGCACATATTAGGCATTTAGTCATGCAGATCAGTTGATGAATAAGAAACACAAGGACTGGGTCAAGGAGACACCACCAAGCCCATACTTTCTCAAAAAAAAAAGTAAGAGCCTGAAGCACAGAAAACAGGGGGTAGGCAACCAACATTTATTTAGTGCTGACTGTGTGTTGAATACTAATAAGTGTTTTGTATATGACCTCATATTTTTCCCCCCTCGCTACCCCCCATGATCTCATATTTAACCCATCCCACCCACCCTGTGGAGAGATGTATGATCAGTTCCATTCTACAGGTGTGAAAACTGAAGTTCAGAAACAGTAATTACCATCCCCAAGGTGCTGCAGCAATAATGAAGTGTGAGGCCAGCATGGAAAACCCTAAAGCCCATGCTCTGTCCACTCCGCCCCACGCTACCCCAAGCACCCAGCAAGAAAGATGATAGCTAGTGAGCCCTGCAGGCGTGGTGGGGGAAGGGCTGAGGGCTTTGACTTACCCTCATCCCACGGGACAGGTCTCCTGTTCCAGCCTGTGACCCATCCATCCAGAGCGTTCCTGAACAGGGTCTCCAAGGCTAGGACTAGAGTGACCTGTCCCCCAGCCCCTTGTGCCCCAAACAGGCAGTGCAGTCCTAGGAGCCATGCCACTACTCCTGGCTCTGGCTATTTGGAGACAGGCTGAAGTCAGGGGGGCTGGAAATCGAGGAAAAGTTTGGATTTCTTGTCCCCTGTGAGTCCCAGGCAGCCTGCTCAGGGTCACCCGATCAGGCAAATGGCCTGAGTGCCTGGCCATCTGGTCACTCCAGGGACAGACCCTTCTGAGCCCAGCAGGAATGGAAGGGGTTACACAGGGTCTTCAGGGACAAAGGACACACACACACACACACACACACACACAGGCCCTGACCTCAGCTAATTAGCCTCTGGTGTCTGTAGGGTGAGAGCTGATATACAATATCTGAGTTCTCTTTGTGTTTTCTCCCTCTTTCCATCCCAACTTGGCCTTGGCAGGGGCCTCCTGGCACATGGGGCAAAAGTAAGTTTCCCTCCTGGGCTGGCTCCTCTGACTTTGACAGCTGTCTCCTGAGTCCCAGAAAGCTGCTGTTGCAGGTTAGAACCAATGGGATAGCCAGGAGCGCGGTCGCAGGGAATCCCTTGAAAAACTTTCTTCTTCCACTTGGGTTGGGTGGGGGCCCATGAGACCTGCTCCTTGGGGATGGAGGCCTTCCAGCATCAGGCTGGACAGAGGCGCAGCCCAGAAGGACAGACAGGCTGGAAAACACCTATGTCCTGGAGCAGGAGAGATGGGGGAGAAGGGAAAAGAACACACACACACACACACTCTCACACACTCACACACACACAGGAGTTTGGCCAGAAAAGTTTCCTGCAGAAGGAAAAGCCGCCTTGCCCGCTGCTTTCTCCCGGGACCCAGGGAGACGTCCCCAGGAATCCCCCCGGAGGGTAAGCGGCGGCGGCGGCAGCTCCCGCGAACAGCCGCAAACTTCAGTCCCCAAAGTCCCCCCAACTCCCCCTCCCTCTCCCCCTCGTTCTTTTGTTCCCCACCGCATTGCCAACCAGGCAGCTCCCGGCT